TTCCCAATTACGACGTAGTCAGGTAGCGCCGATCCTGAAAAGGTCACACGGAACGAGTCTGACAGAGAGTACGTTTTTTTCGTGCCAATGAGAGACACTGATTGCATTTGGATGCAATCCAGAATCTTCACTTTCGGAAGGGCACGGTTTTTAAAAATACCGAAGGATTCGGCATGAAGGAAATCTTCGCAAGTTAGACTCGCTTCGGTGACCACTCCTTCGATTTCTACGTCGCAACTGGGGATGTAGACTCGATATTCCATCGTAAAAAGCTCATAGGCAACAATCCGGTTTGCCTGTTTCAGGTCATCAACGGTAACGCGCAGTTTGTTTGGCGTCACCTTAAATATATCGGTTACGGCCGAAAAATGTTTTGTCAGATCCTTCGAAATCCGAGAAATATTCAAAGGTTTTTGTTTGGGCCGGAAAAAAACAACCCACGGACCTTTTGAGCCACTTGGGTAAGCTTTATGGCGGGGGGTCGCAGAAATTTTTAAGGGAACGGTTGGAGTAGGGGGAACAGGTGGACGAGGGGGCGATGGTGGAGAAGGGGGGGCAGGGGGTGCAGGAGGCTGTTGTTTAGACATCACCTTTGGGTAAGCTCCAGTGCTCGTTTTGGGGTCCGAAGTAGAGTCCCCTGAGGTATCCATTTTCTCTTCAGTGAGAAGCAGATTTTCGAATGATGGAGATTCAACAGACTCATCATCGGAGATATCTGCTAGCGAAATACCCCCGCCATCATTTGTTTCATCCATTGCGGGGTCTTAAGTACCTCCGCAACAGATTTCGACATAAACAAGAAGAAAAAAAAAAAATATGCGTAAGGAAAACAAAAAAAAAATAAATAAAAGAAAATAATAATAAAAAAAAAAAAAAAAAATATATATATATATAAGAAAAAAAAACTTATCTAGAAATATACGGTAAAAATAATACTTAATCCAACAAAGCAAAAAAAAAAAATGTGCCAGGAAAGTTAATCAACACTATAGGGCGATTAATCAGACTGCAAAAAAAAAACAGTAAGTGAAAAAAAAAAGAAAAAAAAAAAAAAAAATGAAAACTTTTTCAGGAAAACCAAAAAGGTGTCAGAAAAGTTAATCAACACTATAAGGAGATTAATCAGCAAAAATTAATAGCAAAAAAAAAAACCAAAGTGAAAAAGAAAAAAAGGAAAACTTTTTCAGGAAAAAACAAAAAGGTGTCAGAAAAGTTAATCAACGCTGTATGGAGATTAATCAGGTTGCGGAGAACGGGAGATAACCGTTTGTTACTTAACTCTCCACACAAGCGCACGGAGTGTGGCTGATGACGATGATCTACTGATGTGAGGATGGTGATGATCGTTCTATTGTTGCCCTCGAGTGTTTTCAACAAAGCACCGGCTGGCTCGCCGGCTGGTGAACTCGATGACCTTGATGTTGCAGTGGCGTGATGCGATGAAATTTGTTGGCTAAAGATGAACAACTCATCTGCCGGACTCGGCCGGAAATGACTGCTTCCTTTCTCGAACGGTTGTGCGGCAAATGCAATTTCGCGATGCTCACTACACTTGTGTATACTATAACACCACTCAGTGTGAAAGCGGATTGAAAAAAAAACCTCAATAGGGAAAAAAACTAGTACTGATAACGGAGTGCAGGCAACACTAGACCGAAACAGTCGAACGTTCGATGCGGAATGATCATGTTAAGTTTAGTGCATGTCGTATTACTCCATCACAATTGAAAAATAATGAAGTAGGGGAAATGCCTCTAATGTTGGCCTATGGATCTAACATGGGGCCCATCGCTAAAAATCTGCTATTTATCAATTTTATCTATATGAACGCGTCATTGGGACATTACTAATGCATAGTTTTGGTCGCTATTGAAAATTTAGTCGATTGCTGAATTTATGTATGGGCCCTTATTAGGGACACATTACACTACATTACATCCATTTCTCCTATTCGGTATTGAAACAGTTATCATTTTTGTCTTTATCAAAAGAAATCGATTCTAATTGAAAGGTCCGGGTTTATTGAAGGGTGAGAGCACCCTCCAAAGGCGCGCCCCTTTGTCAGCAAAACTAGGGAACAACGAATAGATGATTGGGCATCACATAGATGAAGACTAACTAACTCATTTTTTTTTCTTGTTTCAAGGTTATCCTCTGCGGCGCCGGTGGTGTAGTGTTAAACGTGATTACCTCTCACCTCAGCAGGCCTGGGTTTAAACGCTGTCAGCGCCGCTGGCATGTTCTGAGGCATAACATTTCTGATCATGCCTTCGGAAGGGAAGTAAAGCCGTTGGTCCCCGGTTTATGATTAAAGGGGCTATAGGTAGAGTCCAGTTCCCCGGCGTCGGTAGCATTGGTGCTCAGCACGGAAAACAAGATCGACGGAAAACAAAACAAAGGAAAAAACAAAGATCATCCTCAGTGGACCAAGCCGAGTCTGCTCACTATCAACAAGGCATAAAAAGTAACAAGGACTAAGATGTGATCCTTTGAATTCTGAAAATTCCTGTTCCCCTAGTTTGAAGTGGTCAGGACTAGGAATCGGTATCGGTAGATCTTACATCCCGTAACGTCACGTTAACTCAGGTGTATGAGAAATTTCTAAAAATGCAGGTCACTTAGCGCTGAGTTAGTCTCATCAGCCGTGCAAGAGTTTGATGATAATCTTTTCCATTTGATGGTGCAGCTGGTTTATGCGAGACTGTAATCCCAAAAAAAAAATTGTTGTAATCTTCATTTAAAAAAATAAAATCAATGTAATTAGGGAAAGTACTCTGCAGATCAATAATTACTAAATATATCGTAGGTATTTTATACTGTTTCGGTTGAATTTTACTTCAAGCTTAGGGTGGCGTCTTACCCCGTCGTCCCCTACACCACAGAACCTTCGCATGAATTTTTTAATATTTCATAATGCAATCAACTTTTCTTCCTCGTTAGTTACTCTTACACTTTGATCGAAATAATTCTGGAGTAGATTTTTCTTCAGTAACAACATACATTCTTAGGCTTAAATTGTTTTAAAGATTTTAAACTTAGAAGTTTGGAGAAATTAGGAAGACGAAAATAAATATTCAATACTACGGAAATAGAATAAATTCCAAGAACCTAGATTTCAAATAAATTAATGGCCTAGCAAAAGTTTCCAAGCTTATGAACTGTAATGCATTAATTTGATGAGAGTTTTCATGGATCTCTAGGAATCAAGGGAATTCATAGGATAATATCAGTGCATCCATCCAGTGCAATTTTTAAGAAAGTGGAGTCAGAAGATTCCTTTCAAATTAGTTAATTGGAACTCCACACTCCAGGTGAAATGTAAGGAGAACTCCAAGATAGTTCTGAGTAGAATTTTAAGCGAATTCTGAGTAGGATTCAAAGTAAATTTACAAGAGAATTCTGTTCAGAATTCAAAGACAATTCCAAAGAGAATTCAATTAGAGTTCTAACTAACAGAGTAGTAACTAACAGAGTTCTAACTAAAACGGCAAAGTTATTTTGAGGAGACTTTTTAAGTAATTTGTAAGGAGAAATGATAGTAAATTCTAAGCAGAACTCCAAGGTAAGAAGAATTTCATGAAAAGTAGGAGAATCCAAAAGGAATTCTGAAAACAATTCAATGAAAATTCTGAGGCTGATTCGATAAGTACACACTTAGAAATAACAAACTTTACTCGTGACGGAATCCATCTATTAAGAATGAGACGTAAACAAAACTGTCATGTAAAATTAAGTGCTCCGAGACTGAAAAGTTCGTTACTTGACGAAAAATACGAGTAAAAATAATTCTATGGCAAAATTAACGCTCGTATATGTCAGTCGGAGAGACCTAAATTCACATGATTTTTTCCAAGTGTGTACTTTTAGGAGTATTTCATAGTTTATTTGTGGAAACTTTCAAGAAATTTTCATATGTTCAGATTTGAGGAAAGTTTCAGGAATTTTTTTGGTTTTTTTTTTTTAGTTTCAAGGGCCTCAGGGTCCACCAGCATGGAGAGAAGAGTTGACGACGTGAAATTCAGCTCAACCAAACGTACTTTCGAACTTTTCAGTCTCGGAGCACTTAATTTTACATGACAGGTTTGTTTACGTCTCATCCTTTATGTCGAAGATGAATTCCGTCACGTGTAAGATTAGGTATTTCTAAGTGTGTATACTCAATTTATTCTTATCATGGAAAAATTTCAAAACATTTAGCAATTGGTGCATTTTAGAAATTGGCATATTATCTACACACTTGGAAATAACTAATTTTATACGAGACGAGATCAGTCTTTTACATAAAGGATGAGACGTAAACAAACATGTCATGTAAAATTAAATGCTCCGAGGTTGAAAAATTCTTTACTCGACGAAAAGTACGTTTGATTAAGCTGAGTTTATGTCAAAATTGACGCTCGTATATTTCAGTCTCCAAACACCTTAATTAACCGTTTTTTCTCAACTTAACTTAAGAGCCTTAGAACTTATCTTATATAAGCTGTTAATTGAGAACGAGTTTTACAAGAGTCTTCAATTAGAACCTCGTTACTTGAATACGGGTATTGGTATAGGTACGGCAGTATCAAACTAAAAGCGGCGGGTTCGATTCCCGGTCCAGCCGAGGAAATCTTTCAGATTGGAAATCTTCTCGACTTCCCTGGACATACCGTATCATTGTGGTTGCCACACAATATAAAAATTCATGCCATTGGTTGGCATAGATAGCTCTCAACTAATAACTTTGGAAGGTTTTCAAAGAACTCTATGTTGAGAGCCAGAAAAGTGAAAAAACTCAAGAAGAAATTTCAAAAAAATAAGTGTCGTGACTGAAAGCACGTTTGGCTGATATAAATCCATTGTCTATGCTGACTAAATTTTATGTGATGAGAGATACTTCCATGCTTATCGTCGATATTTACATGAGTTTTCCATAATGCGTGGGAATGAACGCAAAATCGTAGTCAATCGCACAATAAATTTCCCTATTTTAAACAGTAGTTCCCCGTCCAACGACTTACCATTTCGCACTTTTACACACTCCTTCTTATCACCCAATATCGCTGAAACACTGAACTTCAGCACCGGCTTAGCCACCTCCTTCAGTATCGTCTGTTTCGAAGCAATAAATTCACTAAAACCACACTTTTCACACCGAAACTCATATTCACCCTCACCGGAGGAAAAGTTCCTCTCGCTCACCAACCCACCACCGTCCACCGTTACCCCATTGCTCCTGATCCTCTGCTCCGGAGGATTCGGTTCCGACTGGTAGTGACCGCACTTGCCACAGCAATAATCCATCAGCATATTGTTTTCATCGTTAGCCCCATTGTTGTACGACCGAATCACCGTCGCAGGGCCCAGCTCATCGTCCGAGAAGGACGAATTGTTCACATTGAGACAACTGTTGAAGCTCTTCGGCGAGTCACACAGACTGTTGGAATCCTTCAGATCGGAGGCATGCTCCTCAAACTCACTATCCGAAGATTCACCGCTGGCGATGATCCTACTGGACGAGTGGTGACGCCTAATCGGGCACCGCTCCAGGTCTTTCTCCTTCAGAATGCTATCAACCATGAAGGCAGTTGACATTATGATCTAAATTTTCTCCACTTTAATCACTTCACAACAATAGCATTTTGCTGCACTCAATAACACTTTTCACCTTTTGTCATCCATGCAGTAGCTTCCCCTATTTTCCTCATCGACACAATCAGATCGCAGCACATCAATAAAATCTAATAAACGATAATAATAAATGTTATTCAAAACTGGCACCGTACTTCCCACCGATGATGATGATGATGCACCCACAATCGGATCCAACTCGAAAGAAGGCCGCGCACAAATTCCTTTATCTCCAAAGCTGAAGCAGCAGGATAGCGGCCGTTATGTTCTAGTCCGGGGAATCGCTGATCTCACACTGGTTGCATCCGTCCTACTGGCAAGGGTCGAAAGTCGAGCAGCATCGGAGTGGTAGCATATTGCTGTTTGCTACTACTAGCGAATGATATCCTTTTCCATACAAAACCGAGGAGGGTAACACGCAAGCACATAACCGACAAGGATAAAACAGCATCTGACCTGTAGAAAGTGGAAGCGGAAGTCGGCGAGGAGGACGAGGAGAGCGCAATATGGGAACCGTTGCAAAGGGGTGCGATTCACTCAAACCCTCCTCCTTGACGCGATGGATGATTGGGGTGGTTGTGATGACGATGATCATGGTGCTGCTCAAGATGATGATGGTGATGATGATACTGATTGTGATCAAACTAGAATGAGATTTATTCATATCCATCGCCGGAAATAGGCTGGTGACCGGGTTGCCAGAGCTGAAATGAGAGCTAGGTTTCGAGGAATTGGGTTGATTATCTTTCGATCTATATATTTGTTAGCTATCTATTCAGTAAATTTCTCTGAATTTCTATTTGTCTATCTAGTTCAGCTATACTGCCAGCTCAACAAACCAGCACGAATTTCAGTTGCTCCTGGAAACGCCTGCTGATAAATGCTGAAACCTGTTTTCATTACGCTGAGTACATTTTTATGCCAGTTTTAGTACATAAGCACCACCATACTAGCACATATTTAAATTGCACACCAACGGTTACTCAATAGAGCTGGTTACACTGGATTCTTTAGACTACATAGTACATGTGTTCGTTTTTAAATTAAAATTATTTCAATAAGTGTGGAAAGGACTCGTCAAAACAAATTAAAAACAAACATGGGAACTTCAGGTATGTTCAACGAACATCCATGGTGGTCCAAGAAGGAACGAATATCTCGATACCTTAAATTGGTATGGATGAGCCTGACATAAGAGGTAAAATACAACAACAAAATAATAATACAAAAAAAAGTTATTCCACAATACCATTTCAATACCAAATTATGCAAATGCAATACCACACAGATATTTTTTTGGTATTCAAATATCATGCAATTTTTTGGTATTATTCTAAATACTAAATTTTAGTATCAGATCAGAATAAGGTATTCATTAGTTATTTTCTCCTGTTCGGGGGGCCATCCCGAGTAGGATAAAATATCAAACCAATTACAAATTTTGGTGGTGAAAGTCTCTTTCTTCGACAAACTTCACCAAATCATCTAGGCCTTCCGGATGGTGGATTATTTATTTTTGAATTCCCCCACTACACGGCGCTAGTGTGCTCTACCCTACATTATGGGTATTTTCTGAACGGAGAACACGAGTAGAAGCTAGAAATCGATAAATCGGTCTCACAAAACTGTCAAATACCGAACAATATGGGTGATTTCGAAAAACTATCAGATACCCTACACTATGGGTATTTTCGGAACGGGGATGACGTGAAATCGACGCTTACCATTATTTAAGATGAAAGGAAGCGTTATTAGTTTTCAAAAATTCAAAAGCTTTTTTTCTGTTCAAAACGAAAATTACGTTCATGAAAATGTGTTCATTGCATTCTGCTTGCCTACTGAAATACAGTGAGCACATTTTCATTGAAAGAATTTCGTTTTTATTATGAATATACCCTAGTCCACAGCACAGTTGCATTAACTTGTATATCTTATCAGTCACAATCAAGTGGCAGCAACCTATTTTGATGATATTTAAGGATTATTGTATTAAAGTGTATACAAATTTCTGCTAGGCTTGATAAATGGGTACGAAATTAAACTCGTTTTTTTTAGCAGCTACAGTGCATCGCAAAAATGAGCTTACACCCTAGAGGATTTTTTTCAACATTGTAAATAGATACTTACCTTACCAATCAGGCTAAGGCCTTGTTGTCCTCTGCTGTCCGAAGAAGTCGTCTCCGTATTTCTTTCTTCAGTATTTGCAACTTTGTTTTTTTTCCAGGGTGGCTTGTTGGGCCTGCCCCAACCCCCTGTCTCGCCGGGGGACCATCGTGCACAGCTCTGTTTAGAGTCCCACGCTGGCACTTGGACGGTGATCAGCCGCTCCAGTTACTTTGGTTACCGCGCCAGTGTTCGCGTCGCACCTCTTCACTTTGCTATTGCCGGACTGGCAACATTGCCCAGGCTACGCCACCCAGCTGTGTCCATGTTTCAGCTGGTAGTCTTTTGTTATCATATGACTCGGGAGGCGTGAAGTAGGAACTTGTGAGGACCAGGGCTAGGTTTTGTCGCGAGCTTGAAAAATCGTAGCGTAGGCAGCGTCGTAGCAAGTCCAAGAGCGACCAAGACTATTGTTCAAGCTCGCGACAAAAGTGAACGATCGATCGTGTAGGGTCAGCCGGAAGCACTGCAACGTACAAATTCTCGGCTGTAGCCCTTAGTAGCAGTGAGTGCCTCCTCTGAACCGGTCCTGTGAACGCAGGCCATCCACTACCACGGCCATTTTGTTTGGTCTCGGCGGCCATTGGCCGCCCAACGTTTCAATCGATCGGATTGGGGTCAACCGACCGTCCGAACAGTTACCGTCGGAGCTCCCAGCCGCCCGCCAGCCTCATCGAAGCCAACCCGGCTGCAAATCACGGATCCGGTGAACCAGAACGGCCGCAGCGGTATCGCAAGTAAATACTAACCCCAAAATTAAAAAAAAATATAAAATGTAAGGTCAAAAGTTAAAATATAAGTTGTGTTCATTATTGTTAAAGAATTCTTTTGTCCATCATTGTTCCATTTAATTATTAATTGTGTTGAACTTCGCCCAGTGACCAAGTGTGAATAGGGAAGAAATTCTCCGGCGGACCACCACAAGACCCTGATAACCAGGGCAACTAAATAGCTGCAAAAGAGGCCTTTGTCGTGGACACCCCAGTCGGTTGCCGTGGCTAGACCAGCAACCGGGGGCTTTTCCTCCCAGGGGCCCTTCTGGCCCCTGACAAAACAGTTAGTTACAAGATAACTAAATTTCTTAAGCGATTTCATTATTTTCTTGAATTTATTGTAACATCAGCATTGAAGTTCTCTGATCTTCCCGATTTTTCTAATTTAAAAAAGTTATCGACACTACCATTAATAAGCACGGAATTTCCCATAAAATGTTCTCACAATGTGCTAATGTTTATGTAACTTCCCTTACGTTTCTCCTTTATTTAATCTGTCCTGATGTTCTCGGAGCTTCCTAAATTTCTCTCAATTCTCCTGAAACTAATGGAACTGTCCTGAAAACCATTTAATTTTTCAGAATTTCATGGGACTTGTGAAGTTGGCTGAGCACCACGCCAGGGAGGCAGCTCCCACACCTGGACCCTACCTATCGACTCATCAACGAATGAACCGGGGACCAACGATCAGCTAGTGTGGATTCGCAATCAAAAAAAAAAAAAAAAAAACAGACTGAAGAAGACGGAAGAGTTATTCGAGCGAAGGCTGAAAAAGCTTCCAAGGGAAGTCGAAATAAGTTTCCGAGAGGAATCAAAAATTAATTTACGATGTAAGGTGGAAGAAAATTCCAGGGAAAAAATGGTAGAGAATCCAGGAAGTTAAATAATGTTTAAAAAGTATTTCCCGAATCCCCTGGAATTACCAGAAAGAGCCATCGACTGTTTATCGATTCATGGGTAGCCAAAAACGGCGAGAAAATTGAAACATTAATCGAAAGAGTATCCATGAGACATTTTTGAATATTTTTTTTTAATTTTAAAGGCTCAAAAATTTGATATTCAAAAAGATACAAGTCTCTCACAATAATTTACTCCGAAATTCGAGCACGGGCAGGCAAAAATCGTTTTGATTATTTAAAAAAAAATCGGTATAAATCGGTATAAAACCTCAAAAATCGGTATTCTGGGGAACCTTATCTGTATATCGGTATCTAGTTTGGAAATCGGTATATAGTGGTAACGCTGATCAGACGTCGGTGTGCTAAGACGCATTTTAATTATTTAAGTGCAGTGGTTGGTGTTTTTGAACGTGAACCAGGACCTGCTCCCCCCCCCCTAGTAGCAGCTGGTGTACGTTAGGGAAATTTAACGTTCATGTAGCTAAATACCCTGCACCAAAAACCGTGAATTAATAACGTATTCATCCGATAGGACCTCTTTTATGTTGGAAATTGAAAACAGTTCGTGAAATTGAAAACAGTTTTCGAGCCTAATTGCCAAGGACCAAACGCTATTATCAGGCCAAACGTAGGCCATAATCCCTTCTCGGCTTGACCAAGGTGGCCTTGCCACGGTCGGCCGATCGTGCCAACGAAGGACGACCCCATGCCACCCCACCGTCCAGCAACGCCAGCTGGCACGTCATCCACTCGCTTCGCCAATCTGACGAGAGTTCTGGCCGCACAGAACAACACAGAACAACACGCACATAATACAGAAAGTAACGAATAAATGCATTTAAAGAAAAGTGAAAGTTCTTCGTTTTTGTATCGCGAAACCCTCTGATTACCCGGTAACTAGCCGACCCTGGGTGTTCCGGAGCTTGCTCTTGTCGCCTGAGTCGACCGGGTGCTGTATGTTTGACCTCCGAGTAGATAGTTGGTGAGTGCTGAGCTCTTACATAAGTTATTTATTTCAAGAAAAAAAAAACACAACCAAATAAGCCCAATACTGTACCAATAGTTGATAAATGTATTATGATTCAGCAACCAAAACTTCAGAAACGTATTTTTTTTTAAATTTGGCTTTTGCAGTTGGTTTTCTAAAATTTAAGGACATCGGTATGCTTAATTTCGAAGTACACTGTATGTATGAACGTGAAAAGAGAGAAAGATATAAAGCTGTTTTCAAAAATTATAGGTCATGTGACATCTTTTCGAAGCAAAAATCTCTCCAAATTCGTACACATAGAGCTTAGATTACCGAAGTCGGGTAAAATTTTTGCTGGGTTTTCAGTAGATTTTAATTTAACTGAAAACTCCATAAATTGCAGAATATCTGAACTGTCAGAAATTACTGTTTAAGTCAGTAAAGAAATTGCTGCCTATATCAGTAATTTATTTGTT